TGAAAACTATGCCTGTCTTGAAGAAATTCATTTCTCCCTCTTATATCACCCCCCATCTGCCTTAAAAAAAAAAAAAAAAAAAAAAAAAAAAAAGGTTTAGTATAACAAAGCTTTCTATGAAAAAATAAGCAAAAAATTAAAAAATGCATTAAAATTAAAGATTTTTTTTAAATATCCGTCGTTGAACAGCCAACCCAACTTTTAGGTTTACGACAACTAATGTTCAACTCCGAAGCCTTATACTTTTTAACTAATCCAGAAGACAAGGAGACTCTTGGATCAGTACCCTCAGAGGTATTGATTTGTTATGGAAATCTAGAGGACTTTGTGCCTCAGCAGATTTAACATGCATCAGGCGCCATTTACTTCAGGAGATTAATTTTGTAATTTTTACCCTTTTAATTTTTTTAACTCTGAGCAATACATTTTATAGATACATTTGAATCATAATGACATAAAATGGTTTTTCGCTACTCAAAAACATGGAATCAAGAATAATTTAAGATTTACATTTTGATTTTGACATAGATTTGAATTTAATCATAAAAACCGAGGGTGTGCGGTATTGGTCCTCGTTAAACTGTGCCACCGTAAAGTGCTCGACTTCGCGCGCAGGTCGTCGGGCTAACGAAGCGGGGGTGCCACCCTCTCCGCAGAGGATCAAAATTGTGGTGGCATGTCTTCGGATCATCCTCCGGGATGTTTCCCAGACCGTCGCCAATAGCCCATTGTGCAGCTCTAGTGCGACGTAAACTAACAACAACAATAATAAAAATATCAATTTGCAGAATACAAAAAAAAAAGGGAATTAACTTTATCATATTATTTTAATTTTAATGATTAAGCACAAGGTATAAAAAATTAAAACAAATGAAGAAATTTTCATTCTAAACTGGCTTTTAATTTTAACAAGTCATCTGATTTCTCTGGTATATATATGTAATACAAAAATTATAAATACTTTTGTATTAATAACAACATTAAAACTCTCGTTTTCATAAAATGTCTTTGGTAAGGAATGGGTGTAGAAATTCTATTTTGAACCTCCAAGGCTGAAAACATACCATTGAATAATAATTAGATTTATATTTCAAAGGATTTATGTAGGATTCCATTAGATTTATATATTTTTAGAATCTTGTCCCTCTTTCACTTCCATATTAGGAAGCATTAAATGATATTCCTTATGCGTAGAGTTACAAGGTATGTACGACTCGAGCCTTTTCACATCTGTTTTTCTTAGATTTAAATTTTTAAATGATTCATCAATCCTGTCGACTTAAAATAACAGGGCTACATCCCTGTTATCATTGTTGTATTCAGCTTGAATAATTCAGTCGTAAGCCATAATACGTTAATAAAAGGTTTATTTAAATGTAGGCTGGTGGTTATAACAGTTCACATCCCCACTCCACAAGGGAGGTGGTGTGGATAAAACTTCGGATGGTTCCGGCAGATCTTTTATGGAACACGTCATTCAGGAAGAGACATGCGAAAACCATCGCTCTCGCATTAAATACTACAGAAACAGGTGCGGAAAGGCTCGAGTTGTACGTACCTTGTAACAATGGTGCTTTTTTTTTTTTAAAGTTACTAATTTAATTTAGCTTCTTTCTCACGAACGTCTAAATGCACAGAAGAAAATAATGCTGTTTTTTTAATCAAAAAAATTTAAAATTGAAAAAGTTCTTTTTTTTTCCTTCTAAAATTACCAACATAGCTTAACTTTTTTTCTTCTTCACGAATGGCTAAATTTCAGAAGGGGCGAAACACATTATTCACCCTTTTATTAAATTTCAGAGCTAAATAAATTTTTTTACTTAGAAAATCACTTGAAAGTTGAAGACAAAAAGTTTTTTTTCCTCTAAGTTTACAAATTTAAATTGACCTTATTTTTGTCAATGTCTAAATTTCTGAAGGAGCGAAGCGCATCATTCGCCCCTTTTTCTAAATTTATTAAGAAAATAAAGTTTTCTTTTTGAAAAATTGGGATAAAAAAGAGTGTTTGTTTCCTAAAATTACCAATTTTACTTCTAACCTTTATATTTATTATAGCCTCTCACTTTAATTTCAGAAGAAAATTAAGTTTTCTACTTGGAAAATTGCTTCAAAGTTCAATTAAAAAGTTTTTTTTTTAATTTTACTTCTTTGCTATTTTTTAATCGGAATTTTTATTTCCTCGAATGTTTATATTTCTAGAGGGGCGAAATTCGCAATAAGTATAATATATTTGGAATTTTTAAAAAAGGATTTGAATAAGGAAAGAAAAATCTCGAAACAAGTATTTAAAGCGTAAGGTTTTGTAAGCGAGCTCGAAGGCGTAAACTTTCGCTATTTGACTAATTTTTCCCCATTAGCGAAATAATTTTTTTTTTCCTTAGTTGGTGAAACGCCATCACTGCAGAATCCTGGCGACATTGTCGTAGAATATTACGTAGTTCTTTTAAAAGAATTTTTCCTTTGAGAAATAAAAATTTTGCTTTTATTTTCTGAAGAAATTTCCCAAATATTTTATCTTTTCTTCAGAATTATATTAAAATGATGTCTTTCTTTCTCTTCGGAGTGGGAAAAAAAAAAAGCTTGTGATTCTTCTATTCTCATTTGAGAATAATGAAGTAAAAAATTCTGTTTTCTTTTCTGTAGAAATTTTCGATCCATTTTTTCATTCAGTTATTACTACTGATTTCCACACAGCTTTTAAAATCCGATGTTGTTTATTACAACAACTGAATCTCGAAATGAAAACAAGCGTTTAGTAACCCCTTTTCGAAGATTTAGATTTGCTTGATTTCGCCATCGATCTTTTTTTCCCCGGAGGAATTAATTAGTGTGTTATCTAGAAAGGAAATAATTAGTGTGTCATCTTTAGGACTGGGCTATAAATCGATATATCGCGACATATCGATTTAAAGCCTATATCGGCAAACCGATACAGCAACTTTCATTCCAAGCGATGCATCAGAAATCTGATTTAAGCCGCCGAGTGAAGAAGACGATATAACGATATAGCGATATAGCGATACACGCAAGGACTTTCTCTTACGTTCCGATGCCAACTC